TGTTATTTTATTGTAATTCAAAAACTAATAACTGTAGATATATGAAAATTTCACTGAATGTTTATATTAGCATTTCCTATACAGCATACAATTTTGAAAATATTTTGACTCTTTTTGAGCTGTTTACAGACATTTTCAGTTTTCAATTATTTTTTTTTTTTCTTTATCAATAAAGTTTTATAGGTAGGGCAGAAGTGTAAAAATTTAATACAAGGTTCCTGATATATCGTTACAATATCAGTTGAAAAATATTAAAAATACATAGTCACAATTTTTTTTTATAAGCATTTAAAGATTGAATTTTGACAAAATTTATCAAATTTAAAATTTAATAATTATTTTGTAGTTAAAAATTTATAAAATGTTCAACTTTTATATCTAAGGATTGAAAATTTAAAACAAGTTTCCACGTAAGTATTTAATTCTGTTACCAAAAAATCTAAAAAAATACATACTCACAGTTTATTTTTATAGTAATTTAAAGTGTAAATTTGGAAGAAATTACATAAAAAAACCTAGAATAACTATTTTAGTTATTTATTGTTGTGATTGTATAATATTATTTGTGGGTACTTGAAATTTCTAAAGTCTATAGACTATGATAGTATCAGGGTTTGTTGTTGATGTATAACGCGTTATAAGTACCTAATGGATATTGTGATATGATTAATTTGGAATTTATTATAGGTACCTTTATATTTCAATTTTTATTTAAATACAATTACAGATATGTTTATAATATGTGTTATACCTAGACTGACATACCGTCTCCGCTCAGAATTGTTTTTCTTATACAATGATATTTTATCATTGAATTCAAATTTAATATCATCCATTATACAGTGACCTACTTGTAACCTACTGTACAGCAGAGCACCTTTTTTGTCTATAAATATCAATTAAATTTTATTTGTTAAGTAAAAAAGCGTGAAAATTTAATGCAAGGCTTCTGATAGATTGTAACAATAACTGTTGAAAAATATTAAAAACACATAGGCACGATTTTTTTTTATAAACATTTAAAGTTCGAATTTCGACAAATTGTAATAATTATTTTGTAGTTAAAAATTTATAAAATGTTCAACTTTTATAGCTAAGGATTGAAAATTTAAAACAAATAGATTAGTATATAAATTACTTTATTCGCAATAATATCATCAAATATACTTAGTAATATCAAAGGCTGACTGACCGTTTTCGCTCAGAATCGTTTTACTTATACAATGATTGTATATCATTGAATTCAAATTTAACACCATCCATTACAGGGACCCACTTATAATCTATTGTACAGCAGAGCGACATCTACTTACCCACTTTTTTAAAATGTTTATTCATATAATTTATTTATTTTATTCTTATAAATATATTTTGTACAAAATGTATAATAGTTATTTAATAATATAATAATATAATTATAGTGTTAGTAATTAGTATGATCCTTATAAAAATATTATTGCAAAAATAGTTAAAAAATTAAAATTAGTGATTATTTAGTACTGAACATTATAAGATAAACCTCTTAAATATTGAACTGTGGGTATTTCCGAGCAATTTTCTACGATTATTTTTATTTCTTATCATGATCTTTGTACTACTTGCTGCTCCAGACAAACTGTTTTCCAATCGAACCTGATATCACGTAATTATTCTATTTGTAATTAAATAAATAAATTAAATAAGATGAAATTAATATAAATACCTCATGTAACACTTCCTCATGTTTTAAGAAGCGTATGCATTTCCATATTGAAATGTGATTTGCCCCGAGTGCTGCATTGAATGCTGCATGGAATGTGCCATTCTCTTACCGAATTATTCGTATGTGGAAGATTTTGTATTACAGATTAAAAGCAATTCCAAATATTGATACTAAACAGTCGTAGGCGTCGACCATTTCGACGGTTGGGACGTCCGATCCATGTGTCCTCAAAATAGTTAACCATCATAGATAAAATATTTTCATTTTCAACATAATAGTTTGATTCAATTAAATCATTAAAATATTGTACACTTTTATTCATTGGAACATAAGCAAGTGCACATAAATGTCGAATTTGTAATGAGAATTCTGCATCTTTCTTCAGCGTACTTATTTTGTAGGTAGTCCGTTTTCTTATATTTTACGACAGATTCATTGTTGGAAATGGAAAAAACATTATTTCCGAATTTTAAACACGTCTTTAAATGCTAATATAAATGATTGTTCGAAATCAGTCATAATGCTGCTTGGATTCAAATCTGGTTCAAATCTTTTTAAAACATTTATAATTTCTATATACAATTGTTTTGTACGATCAGTCATTAATACTTAAGCAATACTGGATAAGTTGTTTGGTTATACGTTTATAACAGGCGTGTATGGTATATAGGTAATATTGTGAAAACAATTTTGGAACTGTCCGAAATGTCCCATCTGCCATCCAAATATTACAATTTTTAAGTATTTTTAAATTATCAATCGTCGAAAAAATCAAAATTCTTTTTTTGTTCTTACTGTAGTAAAGTAAAAATTGGTTATTATTAACTAACTGGTAATTCGAGTGGTATATTTATATCGCTAACTGTTAATGGGATTTGAGGACAAACTTCAACTTTAGATCTTACTCTACGGATTGTTCGAGAAATCAGTGATTGACTTGGTAATTGAGCAGCAACAACTAGTGGAACAGTAGGTACCTAGTAACAGCTTCACTAATTAAATTCCTTGTGGACACTTTATTACGTTTTGCATCATCTTTAATTTTTTCCAAAATATCTCTAACATGAATATTGGCACCATTTGGTGAATGTGAATGACAGGATTCCTATAGTATTGTGCCTATAAATAATATAATAGAAATTATATAGGTACTTAGTAAATTTATAATGATATTTATATAATACAATAATCAATAATTTTGAAATAAACATTTAAATTTATTTGTTATATTAGTTATTTTGTTGTGATTGTATATTATTCGTGGGTACTTGAAACTACTATTATACATTATCATATATCTATGGACTATGATAGTATCAGGGCTTGTTGTTGATGTATAACGCATTAAACGCATTATAAGTACCTAATGGATATTATAGTATGATTAATTTGGAATTTATTATAGGTACCTATTTTAGGTCAATTTTTTTTAATACCATAGATAAGTATATAATATGTCTTATACCTAGACTGACATACCTCAGAATCGTTTTTCTTATACAACGATATTATATCATTGAATTCAAATTTAATACCATCCATTATACAGTGACCCACTTGTAACCTACTGTACAGCAGAGCACCTTTTTTTCTTCGATTTTAGTGTACCTATTCATAATTTATATAGGTATATTCTATTTATTAAATTTAAATTTAAATTATACAACGGTACATCGATATACTGGTATTACCGTCAGCTGTATGGAAATTTACATGTTCATAATACCTTTTTGGATGCGAGCATTTTGGGAATTTACCCGTTCATAAAATCATTTTCGACTAACCTAACCTATAAAATATATAAAATTGGTAGGTATCCTTGGTTATTTAATATCTAATTTGGTCCCAATTTGAACATAGCAAAATAACTATAAAAAAATTATTTTTTATATTTTTATATTTTCATATTTTTATATACAGAATAACCTATTTACATGGAACCATGTTTTGAATTTTCCATTATGAATTTTTAACTACGAAATCACTTTTCAATTTAAATTTGATAAATTATGTCAAAAATGGAATTTTAAATGCTTATAAAAAAAATGTTACCTTTGTATTTTTTATATTTTCAACTACTATTGTAAAAATATATCAGTAGCCTTGTAATAAATGTTCATGTTTTTTTGAATTCAAAAATAAAATTGTATTTATATTTATAGATAAATAAAACCAAAAACATTGAAAATTGAAAATGTCAATAAATAGCTCAATACTATTGAGAATGATTCAACACGATCAACTTTCTCATTGAACTAGGTACTGTTGAAGAAAATCGAATATTTGAATTCAATAATAAACCATTACATATGAAAAAGGATTTTGAGTGGAGGTGTTGGGTTATCCTGACATACTTGTTAAATAATCTAATTTAATAATTACAAAAAAAAAATTAACAAAAGTACCTCATGGCAACAAATAGCATAACTTTCTAGCAAACTTTTTTCTTATTAAAGATTTTTGGGGAATCTTCTATTAAAATTTATAATGTTAGCTATGAAAAATAATTTACAAAATATGAAAAAATTATCATGGCTATATAGTTTGAACATTTTACCTTGTATAGAAAATGGTCATTTTTAGATTTGTTGAAAATGTTGAGTGTTAATGTTTTCATTTTTGAATTACAGCAAAATTTCAAAAATCGCTAGATGAAAATTTGTTAATTTTATTTTATGGTGAAAATCCAATAAAGTAAACATTTTAAATTCAAACGCTCCTAAAAAATGAATGTTACTTTCGGTTTAAGGTGGAACATTTATGAGGAATTTATATTAAAATGTCTAGTGTTAGCTATAGAAAGAAAAACGTTTATAACTTTTTAACTAAAAAATAATTTGAAAATGTTCACGATTTTAATGAATATCGATACACAATAATATATACAATCTGTACAGTTGGTGCACAATAAGCATATTTGATAAAGGCCATAATACATGAGTACTTGATAAGAAGCCACCCACTAGCGAAACTTGACAGTTCTCTAAATTTGAACTTGAAATGTACCTATATCAAAAATAAACGTTTATAATATATGTATCTTTAATAATTCCTATGCTCTATCCACAGAATAATAATATACCTTTTTTTAAACACCAGTTTATGGGTTAATATTTGTGTTAAATTACATGTTTACAACTTACCAAATCAAAATCTTTGTTAAGTTACTGAGTATAATTAATGAGTATTAAAAGTGCTTTACAGTTATATCACTGAAAGAGGAAAGAAAAGGATACATTTAGTTTCACCAGTAATATAGAAGCGGCAGCGGACTGATTCGACGTTGATTGTAAAAGAAATGATATCGAAAATATCCCCTATGGACATTAAGGCGCCAAATGTGAATGCAGCTGAGGATAATAATGAAAATTTGTTTCCTACTTTCGATATTAAAAGTATGGAAACGGTTTCTTCCACAGTACCAAATATTACAAATGATGAAATCATAGATATTATTGATATTACTGCTGATGATGATATAACACTTGAAAACTTCCAAGATCATGAAAAAACTATACTGAACGTCGATAATGATGAAATAAATAATATTACTAACATAAGTAATACAGATGAAGATTTCCCTAGACAATTTTCATGTGATACTAAATTGATTGATAATGATCTTCAAATTAATAATTTTCGTACTAGTGTTCAAAATAAATATATTGAACTTATTACTATATCGGACAACAGCGATGATGAAAATACATCAAATCAACAATCTATTAAAAAACCAAATAGTTTTAAATCTGTATCCAAACGACAAGTTATTTCTACAACAGGTAAAACTAAAGCACCATATTATCGTTATTTGCATAACCGTAATAGAAAATGGGAAGAAAAAAATAATAGAAAGCTACGACCCATCATCATTGATGGTTTAAACATTGGACACGCGTGAGTTTTATTTCTTAAATTTCTAAATTATTTCATTGTAATAAAGATAGTAATGCCTAGATTGTGGATTCATATGCATTAAATACAGCCAAATATGCACTACAATAATTATATTTTCAAATATACAAAAAAAAGTAGCTCGGTAGGTACTCATTTAATTTATGATTTATATTTTGTTAAAAATATTGAACGCTACTATAAATACTTTTCTTTAAAATACTTGTGTTTTGTAGATAAATAGGTAATCTTAATCTATAAGAATCTATAAAAAAACAATTAGGAATCAAATAGTATCAACAAATTATCCTAAAAAGAATTTGCTATTATTTAGCTAAATCATTTGTGTTCTGTTGGTAGATTTAGTCTATAAAAAAAAGTTAACTCTCAAATATATTTGGTAAAACTGTTTATATCAACAAGTATACCCATTAATTAATTAAACGTTCACTGTCCGATGGCCGATATGAGGTTCATGGTTTATTTACTGATAAGTCCCCATTGAAAATTGATAAATTATTTAAAGCTTATTATCATATCGTCAGTCTAACTGTGTTATTATGAATTTATTTTTTTTTGTAGTCCATATAAATAAATCTACATAGAAATAAGTGTATAAAATAAACCATGTGTGGTTCATGGACTGATCAGAAAAGTTTAACGTGACCCACATATGGGTCAAAGGACTGATCAATTTTGATATAATTTAACACATGGACAGTGAGCTTGTTAAATATTAACCAGAACTATAAAAATATGTTTTTTCTGTATTACAATAATAATTATTTCAATAATGTCTAAAAAAGATAGAATGAAATACGAATACCTATGCAATTAGAATTGTAAAATAAGTTTATTTTTTTATAATTAAAAAATAAATGAGTGGGTAAATGTCGAAATATGAAAAAGTTTCATAGGTAGGTAGCTTAAATTGTTATACCATGAAACAATTTCTGTGCTCGTTTGACATATTATGCGGTCAACCAGAATAAAATGCAAATACATACAAATCCACGCTCTAGATTTATAACTTATAGAAATATTAAGATCCAAAAAATGTTCAATGATATTTTAATATTTTATGTACTTGGAAATAATTAAATTTAATATTTTTATTACAGTTTTCTGTACTTATTATGAAAACTTATTAGTTATTACCTATTCTAACTTTAGATTGTCGTAAAAATAATAAATCATAAGATATACTTCTTTTTAGACATGGATTAGGGACGTTTTCAGTGAAAGGCATTGAAATCTGTATAAAATTTTTCACGGATCGAGGGCATAAAGATGTGTTAGCGTTCATTCCAGTCCATCAACGGGGACCACCTGGGTCTGAAAGGAAAACCATGTTTGACAATTTATATAATAAAGGACAAGTTTGTTTTACTCCCAGCAGAAAGATAAATAACTTAAGGATGACATGCCGCGAAGACCGGTAATTTAATAATTAGTAAAATTATTAGATTTAGATATGTGTAATTCTTTTTTTATTTTTATAAAATTGTTTATACTTAAATCAACTTAATTATTATATTCAGAGCGGACCGAGGAAGCTAGTGGTTTTGCAATGGTGTTTATTTATTTATTTTCAAATTTTTTTATCCTGTATACACAATTTATACCAGGATGAGTGCTTTGACTTCAATATATAGGATCTTATCTTTTAGCAAATTGGATCAAGTTATGACTTTAAGCATGTCATTTTTCTAAAAACCAAAAGTTATTTAATGCCACTGGTAAAACCACCGACAAATTACGAAAAACTGCTAAATACGGGATTTTAATTTCTAATGCACTGTTTATCACCATAGAAATGAATAAAAATAATAATATTATAATATTAATTCAACTTACTGGATGTAATAAATAATAACAATAATAAACAATATCCAGACTGACAAACCGTCTCCCATTAGAATCATTTTTCTTATACAATAATATTATATCGTTGAATTCAAGTTAAATACAATCCATTATACATTGACCTACTGGTAACCTACTGTACAGCAGACACTTACCCGCTTACCCGATTTTAGATTCTGAGTGAAATGGTGAATGTATTGATTTCACAATGATGTGTAAATCTAGATGGTACTTTGGGGGGAGGGGTCAAAAGTAAAATTTCACAATAGTTTTCAAAAGTGACGTGAAAAACAAAAACCAAATTAATGAAAAACGGGAATTGTTCCCAAAATTTGTTTTCGAGAAAATCGATTTTGGTTTTTGGTGCAACTCTAAAACAAATGACCTTAAATACCTAGGTACATGAAATTTTTACTGACTGTTTATATTAGCATTTTCTATACACCTTTTTAAAAATATTTTGACTTATTTTGAGCTTTTTAGGGACATTGTTAGTTTCCAATTTTTATAGTTTTTTATTCTATAAATATCAATACAATATTATTTGTTTGGTACGAAAACATGAAAATTTAATAGAAGGCTACTACTTTATTGTTACAATAGTAGTTCAAAAAGATTAAAAATCCTTAGTCACAGTTTTTTTTTATAAGCATTTAAAGATCAAATCTTGACAAAATACGGAAAAATCACGAAAATTAACAAATTATCAATAGATTTTTCATGTAGAGGTTTTGTTATTTTATTGTCATTCAAAAACGAATAACTGTAGATACATGACAATTTTACTGAATGTTTATATTTTTATTTTCTATACACCAAAAAAATTTGAATATATTTTGACTCTTTTTGAACTGTTTCCGGACATTGTCAGTTTTCAATTTTCTTAGATTTTTTTGTCTATAAATATAAATAAAATTGTATTTGATTTGTAAAAAAGCGTGAAAATTGAATGCACTGCTCCTGATATATTGTAACAATAGCAGTTGAAAAATATTAAAAATACAGAGGCACAATTTTTTTTCATAAGCATTTAAAGTTCGAATTTTGACAACATTTATCACATTTAAAATTGAATAACTATTTTGTAGGTAAAAATTTATAAAATGTTCAACTTTTATAGCTAAGGATTGAAAATTTAAAACAAGGGTCCACGTATATACTGGTGATTCTTTTATCAAACAACACTCATTATTTCAAAAAGTGTAAATTTTTTTGAAAATATTTTTTTACATAGTTTCAAGTCGCTTATAAAACAACGTTTTTATTTAAAAATTATAAGGATAAAAAATAATTAAAAATATAATTTTTTAATAAAAACGTTGTTTTATAAGCGACTTGAAACTATGTAAAAAAATATCTTCAAAAAAATTTACACTTTTTGAAATAATGAGTGTTGTTTGATAAAAGAATCACCCAGTAGGTAAATATATAAATTACTTTATTCACAATAATATCATCAAAAATACTTAGTAATATCCTAGGCTGACTGACCGTTAACTCTCAGAATCGTTTTTCTTATACAATGATATTATATCATTGAATTCAAATTTAACACCATCCATTACACATTACATTGACCCACTTGTAACCTACTGTACAGCAGAGTGATTTTTTTAATTTGGATGTATATTTTTGGTACTAGTACTTCTTTTATGATGATATTTATAAAAAAAAAAACAAATTTTGCATCAGTAGCAAACTGCTCACCTGATACCTGAATTGATTAGGTCATTTAAACCTTGATCATCATATCTTAAACGACATTATGATGATAAAATATGCATTTTTAACATATTACAATCTATATAATTTAGTTATTACTGAATCAATTACTGAATTGACCATTTTTTCCAGCGCATCCCAAACCGCTCCCGTCCATTGTTTGCTAATTCCTAAATGGCTCCGGTCTAAAGTCCCGGCTCCCGTCGAAAAAGGTTTAAAAAAATGGCAAATTCCCAAAAGGCTCCCATCAAAAATGTTATTATGAACAGGTAAATTTCCAAACAGCTGACGGTAATACTGAATACTGATTCGAGGTATACTTTATACCGTTGTATATTTTTAATTTAACTTGAAAAATATATATATAAATTATGGAAACATTATTTATGAATTTTCATTTAATGAAATAATACCTGTGGATTGTATAAGAAAATTGTGCCTTAAAAATGTACTCAATGTATGAATTTCTTATATTTTTAATTTTTACTCACATTTTTTTACAATTTTTCAAATAATTTTTATAATTTAGCATTTACGTAGAATATAACCTTAAAAAAAACACCAATACATTTTTAATCACACCTCTTTTGAGATAGTTCTAAGTCAAAAGTATGTATGAAGTGGAAAGAAATTCGTTTGTAATAAACCAAAGCCGTTTGGGAAGTTATCTGTTCATAAAACCTATTTTGATGAGAGCCGCTTGAGAATTGACCTTTTGTAAAAATTTTTTGAGCTCAATGGGCTACGTCCTTTTTTTTTTTTTTTTTTTGCAAATTTGTCAATTGAATACTTTTGCTGAAAGTCGACTTGATAACTTTTTGTTTTAAACAAATTGCAGAGTTTCATAAAATATTACTACCTATTGGTGATACCTACACATATAATCTATATATGCCCTATATACCCTCGGCCCTCTGTATGTGGACTTGTATTTTGACATAAATAGATTTATAGAATAATATTAATTGTGCATGAATATAATTGAATATTATTAAGTACCTACAGTAAATTTTTTTAAAAATTACATTCATAATTTCCTTTTTTATTATTATTTCAAAGAATGATGCTCGGATATGCCAATAAATGTGATGGAGTGGTTGTTTCAAATGATAACTTTCGGGATTTATATGATGAAAATGAAGCATTCAAAGAAATTATTGAAAAGAGGTAAAATAATTATTATTTAAGTTAAATACCCACTGCATAAATATAAAATGTGTGTTACCTAATATACAACTTAAATTAACATTTAACTAACAATTTTTGTTTAATATCAATAATAATTTTAATAGTTTTATGTGTATTGTGTAATGTGTATACATAACTTATTTTAAATATTTTAGTTAAATTATTCTTAGTAAGAAAATACAATTAAAATGTAGTATAATTATAATAAGTAGAAGTGAAATATTCAAAATTTTTTTTAGTTTCCTGAAATATAAATTCCAAAATTGTTAACAATTAAAATTTATTTTTGTCATTTTTCTACTTATTGGATATATTTTTGATAAATTTATTTGTGTACAATAATAATATATGTTTCTCTTTTTAATTTGTAGATTAGTAATGGTTACGTTTGTCAAGGATGACATAATTGTTCCAGAAGATCAATACAACGGAAGAACGAAAATCCTGTATCTTTCGGATATTTTATGTTTTCCAGAATAAATTTATATTAATTATAAATGTATACTTTCTTAGCGTTTGAATATACTTCTATTGGGTGTTACCACTTTATATCCTCTCTAATCTTAAGATTTATGTCAAATTATTTTAATTGTCAATTATCAAACCAACTTATTGTACATAAAAATGTGTATTGATTATAGTTAGGTATATTACAATATGATAATAAAAAAAAAATTATACTTAAAATAAGTTATATTTTAATTACAACTAAAAAGGAGACTTATGAATGTATTTTAATTGTTTATATTATTAATCATAAATAATTTGAGTTAAATGTGAGAAAAATGTATAAAATATTGAAATATTATAAATATTGAACAAAAATAATGTGTAAGTATAATTCTAAGGATATTTTTTATATTATAAAATGTATATAATAAATAAACAAATTTAATTAATTATACTTTAAAAGTTTAATATACTATTGGTAGTTTATTTTAGATTCTGAGTAGAACGATGAATGTATTGATTTTACAATAAAGTGTGTTTTTTAATTTTTAATTTTTCTTTGTGTCTGTCATCACCTTTTAGGACAGTAAAAGTACTTGGACACTATCTTTTTTGATAGGAAAGTGAATCTAGTTGGTACTTTGGTGGGTCAAAAGTATAACCGTTGGTGCTTGAGGAGGTCAAAATTTAAAATTCCCGGCAGTTTTCAAAAGCGACAGGAAAAACAAAAGAAAAATTAAGGAAAAACGGAAATTTTTGTTGAGAAATCTGTTTTTGAGAAAAAAAATTTTGGTACTTTTTGTAACACTAAAACAAATGACCGTAGATACATGAAATTTTTACTGACTGTTTATATTAGCATATTCTTACACCATGCGTTTTTTAAAATATTTTGAGCTGTTTAGGGACATTTTCAGTTTCCAATTTTTTTAGTATTTTATTCTATAAATATCAATAAAATGTTATTAGTTGGTTAAAGAAGCTTGAAAATTTAATAGAGGGCTTCTAGTATATTGTTTCAAAGGCAGATGAAAAATATTAAAAATCCTTACTCACAGTTTTTTTTATAAGCATTTAAAGTCCAAAAATTGACAAAATATGGAAAAATCATGAAAATTAGCAAATTATTTTGAGTTAAGAATTCGTAAAAATTGTTCTTTTTAAATCTAAGAATCTTTTAAATCTCAAAATGTAATACAAGATTCCTTATAAGATTATCTACCTTTCTCCAAAAAAAAAATATCTATAAGAAAATCAAATTAAATTTTTATGAGCTTTTGAAATCCAAATTTTTACAACATTGGATATTCACTCGATTTCTCGTGTAGCGATTTCCTTGATTTGTTGTAATTCAAAAACGGATGACTGTAGAATGTAGATACATGAAAATTTCACTGAATATTAATATTAACATTTAATATACACCTTACAATTTTGAAAATATTTTGACTCTTTTTGAGCTGTTTATGGACATTTTCAGTTTTCAATTTTTTTAGTTTTTTTTCTATAAATATCAATAAAGTTTTATCTGTTAGCCCAAAAAGTGTAATACAAGGCTTCTGATATATTGTTACAATATCAGTTGAAAAATATTAAAAATACATAGGCACAATTTTTTTTTATCAGCATTTAAAGATCGAATTTTGACAAAATTTATCAAATTTAAAATTGAATAATCATTATGTAGTTAAAAATGAATAAAATGTTTAACTTTTATATCTAAGGATTGAAAATTTAAAACAAGATTCCACGTATATAGTTAATTCTGTTACCGAAAAATCTAAAAAATACATTAGCACAGTCTATTTGTTGTATAGTCATTTTAAGTTCAAATTTGGACGAAATTACATATTTTAAAAACCTACAATAACTATTTTAGTTGTTTTGTTGTATTTTGTATGATATTATTCGTGGGTACTTGAAACTTCTAAAGTACACTATTATATATCTATGGACTATGATTGTATCAGGGTTTGTTATTGATGTATAAAGCAGTATAAGTACCAAATGGATATTGTGGTATGATTAATTGGGAATTTATTATAGGAACCTATTATAGGTCAATTTTTTTTTGTAATCTTGTAACTTGTAACCTACTATACAGCAGAGCACCTTTTTATTTTAGTACCTAATATGATAGGTAAAATGAATTGTTACTAAAATAAATCTTATAAAGGATGAATTTTTAATCTTGCTGCCAGGCTTTTATGCCTAAATTATGCATATATTGAAATTCTGATTTCCGAAATTTTTAAATGCACTTGAAGACCAGGTTAGGTTAGGTATTTCCTAATCTTTCAGATTTTTTTTACCACTAAAGAATGACCGTAAGAAAACAATAGGATTATACGAAACTTCTGTTTTTGAGTTTTTCAAAGAGGAACCCTCTTTTTAATTTTAATTATTAAGCCGTATTTTTTTTTTTTTTGAGAACTTTGTTGTATATAAATTAAAATTCGAGCAGTTTTCAGTTGTCTATATAACTTTGTGTACTAAGGATAAAACGTCTATGCGGTAATAGATTAAGTAAATACGGGTGTCTAGACGATTTGAAAATGTTAGTAATTAATTACTAATTATTATGGATCTAACAATATGGGTAAATAGTTTGTAAAAATAATCCAAATACTTGTAATAAATACTACATCCCATATTAAATAATATGTATTTATAGTTAATATTTTTATACAACAATTTTTAAGGATTATTATTCTTAGCATAAACATTTTAATAATTCAGAAATTACTCATAAGAATTTATATTTAAATACACCAACACTTTCATGAAAATCATCAGCTAAATAATTTGCTGTGAAAAGGATGTATGGGGGGGGGGGGTGCTCATTTTATAAATAAAAGTTTGTATCGTGACAGGACACTTCTTAAGTAGTACAAGAAATATAAGACATTTTAAAATATGGTCTTCGGGTACACTTAAAATTCAAATATCAGAATTGAATAATTTAAGGGAAAAATAGGTGGGCAGGTGGGCGTGAACATTAAAAAATCACCCTGTATATTATAATATAACTTTCTCTAATGTGGTATACCTATGATGTGACATCAATAAGTTACTTAAAAAAAATAAGCATTGTGGTAGAACTCTTAAAGGAGCACACAACACAAAAAAAAATGTCTTTAATTTTCTTTTTAATGTTATATTATTGGAGCTATGGCTATATTAAATGATTTGGGGGAAAATCCGAAGTAAAAAAAAATGATTACTTTAAGAGATATTAAGAAGTGTTGTATACCTAGCCGCGTGTCGTCATTGGGCCCTACTCATCGTAATTTGCCTATCATATACGTGTAAAAATTTCTCGCTTCACACAGCGATTTACCAATCTAAAAATTTTATTTTTTAAATTTAGTTTACGTATAAATGTGTGGTTTTATGTGTTTAAGACGATAAAAGCATCAGAAATTAGACGTGGGAAAATAAGTTGTGAGTATAAACAAAATATTATATTAGTTTATCTAACTTAATTGGAATACTTATCCGAATGGAATAATAAGAGATAGTTACCAGTGTCGGCCTGGGCGCCTGGCCATAGCCGCTAGGACACGAACGCGTACGGAGACATTTTTTTTTTTAGGGATAGTTCTATGAATATTGGATATTGAATATTATTATATATTCTATCATTAAAAATTATAATACTATTATAGTATTATCTATTTATCAAAAATTACTGATATAAATAAAATAAATTACACAACTTGAATCTTATTAAAAAATATTAAGTTGTATAATGTTATAAGGTATTATTTATATGACTTTTCAGAATTATAAATAATTACTATAACTATGAAGTAAATGCGTATTTTAAATAAGGTACCTTTAAAAATATATGTAATACTTTGCACTACCTGTTTATTAGCACTTTTTTTTTATCATTTTTTAAATAACATTTTTGATGGCCCTTCTGTATAAATGCATCTGGGACCCTTTAAGTACTAGGTTGGCACTGATAGTTACAATCTTTTTCGAGAAGTATAAAAAATTAATTGAGTATTTGAGTCAATCAGTATATAACTTTAACACGGCGATTGCACATACGAGCATATCGTTGTAAAAAAAAATAAATCATACGGTTTGGAGATTGAGACAATACCTACTCGACAAATGTAATAGGTACAAGAAATGACAAATTGCTTACACTTGATACAATAATAACTTACAGCAATAAGCAAAAAATAATAATTCATGTTGACATGTGCCTATTGTCTATGACTGATTACCCGACGCGAAGCGGACGTACGTTTCTCCAGCCCCCCCCATATCGAATTTCAAAATTTTTTTTGGTTAAATATTTAGCGTGCAATTAGCGTGAATTGGCGTGACTGGTTTTGGAATTTGCTTGGCACTAGGTCAAGTTGAAAAATGTAAACAAAGTGGGGGGGGGCTGTAGAAACGTTTCTACAGCCCCTCCTCATCCGAATTTTGAATTTTAAGGACTTTTTTATGTCTCAATATTTAGCGTGTAATTGGCGTGACCTATTTCGAAACCCTGCATTCAAAACATCAAGTACCACGGGCGTTACCATTTTTTAGACATTTCTCCAGCCCCCCCCCCCAAAAGACAAATAAATTTTTTTTCGTATTTTTTTCAACGCTAACATTTAGCATGCAATTGGCGTGAATTTGCGTGACCTATTTCGAAACCGTAAACCCAAAGCCCCAAGTACTGTGGGCTTTACCCCTTAATTGCCATTTCCCCAGCCCCCCTCAAACAGCAAATAAATTTTTTTTCGAATTTTTTTCAACGCCAATATTTAGCGTGTAATTGGCGTGAATTTGCATGACCTATTTCGAAACCGTAAACCCAAAGCCCCAAGTACTGTGGGCTTTACCCCTTTATTGCCATTTCCCCAGCCCCCCTCAAACAGCAAATAAATTTTTTTTCGAATTTTCTTCAACGCCAACATTTAGCGTGCAATTGGCGAGACCTATTTCGAAACCCTGCATTCAAAACACCAAGTACCATGGGCGTTACCATTTTTTAGACATTTCTTCAGCCCCCCCCCCCC